TTGCATTAAAACCACAAGAGTGCTGACTATTGAATTTGGGAAAAAATCAGGCTAGGGTTATTTCTTAAGAGGAGAAAATGATTAGAGCACTAACTGTAAGTTGTAGGGTACAGACTGGTTAAGCCATAGCAGCTACAACTGAATTAATACATATACCATCTTCTAGCTCCAAGCTCAATTCAGACTCTAAGAGTGCTCAGTTGTCTAAAAAGACAAAATCCCAACATATATACTCATCATATAATACATACATAATGCCAATTTTATACCGACAATTATATACTTATATATATAATTATACATATATATAATTATACATAATACGTCTATAATATATGTCATATATTTATTATATTTTATATGAAATATATTTTATCTATATATATATATGTGTGTGTTTATAATGCCAGTTATACAATTATATAAAATTAATTGCCCATTAACTTCCAGGTTGGGAAGACCTTCCATCTCCTCTAGATAGCCCTAATAGTGCTCAATGAGAATGTTTTCCTAAGGTTGTTTTGTTGTTATCCTGTAGGGTTTTTTTACTCTATCATTTCAAGTGTAAAACTAATAGGGACATTGAGATTATCCCATATTATACATTGTGGCAGTGTTAATTTTCATGTCTTTATCTTATTGAAAAAAAAGCCAAACAAGCAACCGAATGGATGTTTGGTTTCTTAATGTCCTGCTAGGAACAAGACAGTGTTCTGCTGTGTCAGTTATGCCAAAAAGTGAATGTTATTTATAGGGTTGAGCAAAATCAAGGACAGCTAACTTGAAATTGAATTTATGTCTTTTTGAACCAGGTTCTGAGATTTCATTTACTTCTTTCATTTACTTCTCTCCAATCTCATCTGAAGAAAGGCAACTGAGATATGGCTCTGGGAAAGGCATTTTGCAACACTTTAAAAGAATAAATTCCTGCTGGCATGTGATTCAGCAAAACACATGCTGAAGACATGAAGCCATCCTCATCTGCTGGAGTTTGAAATGTACACTTACAAACCAGGGTGCTTCACAAATCCATGTGGGCTTTGTGCTCTACTGCTCTGACAAATGGAGAACATAACCAAATAAATGATGGAAGAGGCTTTCTTTTTATTTTTTTACTGCCTCTTTTCCATTGTGACTGAGAAGAGAAGCTGGTATCTCCTTGCTTTCACCCCCCAGCAGCTGGGAGGCAGGAGAAATGTCAAAAGGATGATGGCTGCTGAAAAGACACGTACCTGGTGTGTGCCACAGTGACTCAGCTTAGACTGCTGCAAGACAAGAACTGTGAAAAGCAAAAAAAAAAACAAAAAAAAAAAAATTGCACAATTTTATACACATATCACTTATTTTTCATATTGTTATGTTTGGGTTGGAAATTAGGTAAATGGAGTTCATCCATACAAATTCTTCATGCTTTCTCTATCTCATTAACTCCACAGCCTAAGCAAATGAGAAATGCTTGTAAAACTGCTGTATTTTAAGTGCAGGCTGGAGAGTGGAAATGCATGGAACAGAATGTTCAAGAAACTGTATTGTTCTTGTTCACTGTCATTAGTGGCCATGTAGTTTGATTCTTATGAGTTAATGACACATAATAACAAAGGTTATTTTCAAAACTTACAACAGAGTTTTTGTTCAGCTCATTTCTGTGGGAGATAACCAGATTTATTGAGATAATGCAGCAGATGTTATTCAGGGAATGACTATCAAATGGAACCAATATCTGTAAAATAATCTATTTTCTAAATGCAAATCTCATTTTCTACAAGTTTTTCTTCACAGTACAACCACTTTGTAAAACTCTTACCTTTTTATTGTGCAATTCCTTACCACTGCAAAGCATCAACTGAATTTCACTTGACTTCACCACCCTTCCAAACACTCCTTTTTTTCTGAATGTGGGTCTTGTTCTTTTACATGTGCCACAGAAAATTCATTGAGGAATCTTCTATTAATTTTAGCTCTTTTTCTGTCCTACACCATTAATTCAAATGCATTTCAGATCCAAGCTCTAGAGGAAGAGACTTTTTCTGTTAATATCTTCCCTGGTCTGGAAGGGATCCCTTTCTGACTACACAGATAACTCAGCACCAACTGGTAGGAATTTTTATAACTCTGTGTGTCAACACTAAGGTCACATGGGGCTAAAACCCAACAGAAGATGCATGACTCCTTTATTTAAACACAAGCACACTCAAATTGCACCTCAGTTCCTCTACAAATCTGCAGAGCTCAGTGCTTCTCACAGTGCTTGTGGCAGAGGGGCCTCCATTCTCTGTCCATCATATCAGCTACAGAAATACAGATTCATAAGACAGGCCTTCTCAGCAATTGAATACATCTAAAGAAGAACAGGCATTTGATGCACAGGAATCTCCACAACACTTCAACATGATTCCAAATGCATCTCCTCCTTTATCTCTTTCTCTACAAATATTGCTTGAGTATTTTGTAATTTTGTGATTTTGCAAAGTCCAGTTAAGTGGAAGAAATACCTGAATACATCAGATGATATTTTAAAAATGCAAACCCATATTTTTATATTTTTTCCTGCATGGCTATTGGTCATTGAAACATGTCCAAGATATGCCAAAACTCAAAAAAATAGTGAGAGAGTCAGTAATGCATTGCAGCACGTTGCTGTTGTCATTGTCCCATGGATTTGAAGACAACTAATTTTCCCTTGACCTTTTCAGCTTTAATGTCAAGGTTTGGGAGCATTTTAAAGTGCTGATTTTCCCTCTCACACTGTATGACAGCAGACATCCTTTGCCTTACATGCCTTAAAAATTAACAAGTGTAATCCAAGCCTGTCCCAGGACAGCCATGAAGGAAAGCTCACAGCACCCTGCCTGGCACAGATGACTGTGAAGATTCAACAGAATAGCCTGAAATATTTCAAGAATAAGGGTCAGTAAGCACTGCAGAAGTTTGTGCCTCCACATCTCAGGTGCTTTTTTTGTCCCTCCTAGACATATGAGTCTGGCTATGTCTGCTGAGTTCAGCTTACAGGTCTTGCAATTAATACCTTCTGAAAGCAGTAGTGAAATACCACCTCTCCAAAGAGGTTATTCTGTCTAGGAAAACTGGTGGTTCAATGACAGCAAGAGCCTGAAAAAAAACCCAGCCTTTAAGTTTGTCCCCTGCTGCCAAAGGACATGGTAAATAAATAAGGAAACATGTTTTATATCTTTGATATTTTGGGGGAAAAAAATACACAGTATTGGTTCATTTTTCTGTAGGTGAAATGTTGGGAGATCCTGAAAATAATCTCCTCTGCAAGTGAGGAAAAGCTCAGTAAGCATAATTTTATTCAAGTGAATCATATCTGTGTTAATGCAAGGTGCCCACCAAGCTGCTCTACCCACTCCCCCTTCCAGCTGGACAGTGGAGAGAAAATAAGGTGGAAAATAACTCATAGGTTGAGATAAGGCAGTTTACTAAAACAAAAATGAAAGGTGTGCTCTCAAACAAGGAGAAAACCTGAAGATTTCATTCTCTACCTCCCATCAGCTAGCAAGGTCTGGCTTCTTCCTGGGAAGCAGGACTCCAGCACATGGAGCTGCTGCTCTGGAAGGTAAATGCTCAAATAACACATCCTCCTCCCAGTCCTCCATCCCCACTCAGCTTTTGTCTCTGAGCTGATGTCACATGCTCTGGAATATCCATTTGGTCAGTCTGGGGCAGCTGTGCCCAGGGAAAGTTGAGAGAGTGGAGTTGTACCAGCCCTGCCCAGCAGCAGCCAAACCTGGGGTATTATCAGCTCCTTTCTGTCAGAACTCAAAATGTCCCTCAGACATTTTTGGAGGTTCCGGGCCCAGGTCAGAAGCATTTGAGACCCTGGCAGGCAGCTGGAAACAGCTGAGATTTTGGGTTTGAGCCATGGAATGATTTACCAACCTTGCAGGAAGAAGAAGAAGTCACAAAAGATTAGATATTATAGTAGAAGTAGTCACAAAGTAGAGGGAAGAACTTTTGAGTGCTGTACGGGGGGGTTTAATACTTGTACAGAGGGGTCAGAGGTTTTAAGATGGAGGGATTTTGGGATCCTGTCATCCCTCTTTCTCCTTCCTTACCTCCATGTTCTTGGTGATGTTGGCACTCACAGATTGGTTTAGAGTAGAAAAGCACCATTTAATATAGGTAGTAGGTATTGGGGAAAAACTGTAACCATGTAACACGTTATGTACCATGTAAAAGATAGAAAATCACCATTTAATATAGGCAATAGGCATTGGGGACAAACTGTGAACATGTAACACGTAATGTACCATATAAAAGATAGAAAAGCACCATTTAATATAGGTAATAGGCATTGGGGAAAAACTGTAACCATGTAACACGTAATGTCCCATATAAAAGACAGCAGCAGCCCTGGGCAGGGAGAGAAGAAGCAATTGGGAGTCAGAGAGGATGTCAGGGTGTGTGTGTGCCTCTGCCTGAGCTCTGAGCAAACCACAGCAGCCCCAGAAGAAAGTATTTTAGAAAACTTGCAATAAACTGCCTTGAGACCCAACAACAGAGACTGCTGAGCCTTTCTTTGGAAGCACGGGGTGGAGGAGAAGTTTTTTCACCACATGGAGCCACCCTGACCTAGGGTGTTCTTTGGCACCTTTCCAGCTCCCAGTGCAAAGCACAGCACTGAGGGATGCCCTGGAAGCATGAACCCCACCCCTGCCGGTCCCACTGCACCAGTGGAGTAGAAGCATCTCCTCTGTGACCAGGTATCTCTGATATATTCTAAATATGGCACATTTGTTTCTGTAATGAGCAATTACAGGGCTTGTTTAGATATTCAGGTCAATTTATGGGTCCAAACAGTAGCTAGAAATGAAACTCATGAATCGTGAAGCACTGCTTCCCAAGCGAAATATGAATGCTGGACACAGGCAATTAAGCACTCCCTATGTTTTCTGGATAAATATGCAAATTTGACATTCAAATCAGACTTCTAAAAAAAATTTCACCCAAGTTAAAACACTAAGAACATAAGCAGTCTAAAGCTTAAGTCTTTTTGCTCTAACTTTAATTGCTTGCCATAATTTCTGTTAAGGGCAAGGCACTTTAGTAGGTTATCATTCTGCTCCTCCCAACTGTTTCAAAAGTCAAGTGTGGTTTCCCCTGACACATCACATAGTGGATGGAATTTTTAGATGGAGAATTTACAGCAGAGTAGCATGCAGGGAATTCATTAAAGCTTGGAGAAGGAAGTCACTGCAAGAAGGTGACAGTGTTGTTTGCATAATAGTTTTGCCTGTTCCAAAGTAAGACTAACTACTGAACTGCCTTAATAAATTACATTTTTCTGTAGTTAAAGAGAAGCACTTAGCAGGTTCTGGAAGAAAGAGGATTAAAAGGTTGATCATATGAAGTAGGAAAAATAAAAGTTATGGGATAAACTGTTAAAAGGTGTTTACCAACGCAGATATACACTGCTGTTAAATACAGATTTACAGGACAAAGGACTCTAATGACTCTAAGTCATGTGCCACTCCTCCCTCACATGATTCTGCTGCAGACAGAGTCCCAATCTGGATTTAGCATTTTTGGTGGTGATGTAAGTTCCTGCCTCACTCAAGTGCAATTTGTTCCATTGTTTGTGACTTCAGTACGCTGCCCTAAAATGAGATTTTATATCATATTTTAATGCCACAGATTATTAACACCACAAACAAAAGGCATCATAATCCTTTACAACCCTTTAACTCTACTTCAGAATGATTTTAAGGGCTCAAATCAAACTGTGGTGGCAATTAGGTCTTGGAGTTGACCACAGGGAAAGATCTGTGTTGTAATTCCAAAGTAACTTTTTTAACCTTTTGGCAATGGACATAATCATTTCTGAGCGGTCTGTTCTAGTGGGATGTGGAAAGTGCATGGAATTAGAACATCTTTAAGGTCCCTTTGCAAATGAACTATTCCATAATTCTATGACTCTGTGAAGTTAATAACATCAGCATATTCTTATTAAATTTAAAGTGGAAAAGAGCCAGAAGAGTTGATACTCCCTGAGGAAACCAAGTTGTCCTGCTCTGTAGGTGAAAGGAGGCAGGGAGAGAAAGAGCACAGTGAAATAAAGACCAGACTGTGTCCACTGCACCTCTGGATGCTATGAAATAGAAACTCCACCTTCTTGTGAGGTGTCTGAGCCACAGACTAATGAAGTCAATCTCTTTCATTAGGAGGGTGAGGTTGGTTGGATGCAAAATCCTCCTTGGCTGATTGAAGCTACCTTTGGTGTGAAGGAGCTGCAAAGCAAGTTCAGCCTAGGACATCACTAGAGAGAAGAAGCCTAAAGGAAAGAGCAGAGAGGCATTAGCATACCAGCAAATCTCTTTTTATACATTTTGAGGGTCTCTCTCTCACACACATGCGAGGTAAAGGTCCGGTGGACATTGCAGTACCAAATTCTGCCGTGACGCTGCTGCTGCCCATGGGCGCCCCGGCGCTGTTGATCCATCCCACGTCCGTCCTTTGTTTTCTGCGAGATTTTATCACTCTTAGAAAACGGACAGTACCATTATTGAATGTCTTGAATCCCAAATCTATTTGACAGTCATTGCAGGCTTGATGCGCAGAGGTCTTTGTTAGAAAAGGCACACTATTTACATAACCAGCTGACCTTTTAAACCGCATTTTATCAGGAGGAGCTGAAAAGGAGGCGATAAGGGGAGAAAAGGGGGCAGAGGAGCCTTTGCTACCTGTTGCTGTAAGAGAAATCATACCCTGAGGCAAAGAGACCTTTTGTTTTTATAACTGCATAAAGTATCATATATATGTCTACATATTTAACAGCCACTACACTTGAAATGTACACTGAATTATTTTCTTTACAAACCGTATCATCCTTCCTTCATTCCTTTTCTTACGTTCTCACTAAAGAAAAAAAAAAATCAATAAAGCCCCAAGCAGCGTAAATCATTGCTAAGATCACCTCACTCCACGATTCTTTAGCAGAAGAATGATTAGATATGCTGACAAGAACAAACCAATGTGATGCCAGAGGAATCCTGGGTTTCTGTGGTTTCCCACTTTTTCCCAGCAGATTCAGGAAACATAAAACTGCCAGGCTGGCAAACAGATTGGAATGCTTCACACTGGTGCTTACAGAGACAATAGAAAGAAGACAAAAAGCTTCTTAATAAAATCCCAGAAACTGCCATCTCTTTTACAGACCGCACACAGCACGGCAGAGAGGGGCTGGTGGAACGCTCCGCATTGCCTAGCACACACATCCCATAATCTGCGCGGCTCCTGCGCTCACTGATCCTGCTAAGCGTGAGGCTCACACAGCCCTGCTCTGCTGCGGGGATGCCGGAGCTCCTTCACTGATCCTGCTAAGCGTGAGGCTCACACAGCCCTGCTCTGCTGCAGGGATGCCGGAGCTCCCTCA